ATCCGAACCCTTTCGAGGCTAGAGCGATTCAATCCGTTTGATGGCGATTAAATCTGGCCCACCAATCTTGGACTATTGGCCTAATTAATTTAATGGACTTTCAAGTTAGCCCCTCTTACAAAATGAAATATATATGAATACTTTGGCGTTTTACTTATATTTAACAAAATTAAATTATGTATAGTACTTACAAAGGTTATTTATTTAATATAATCAAAGCGAGAATAAAGAAAAACGAAAGCAAATAAATTGTCATCCCTAAAAATTATACACGGTATTTTATTACTATGTATGATTAAGAGAGAGTTGTCTTAATGTAGGTTCACACAAGAAAGATTGTTGGCACATTCCACATTAGATAAATAATTAAAAATTAGGCATGAATTCTAAATAACGAGTGTTCGTAGATTTAAAATACCCCAACATGAATATACAAGCTTATAAATTTGGCAAGGTGTCTTTATGTTCGCCCACAAAAAAAATGACAAGTTGATTGAAATATAAATTAACTCTCTTCCACTCTTGATAATTGATGTGACGTTGATAAAAGTTACACTTGTTTATTTGTTCCCATTTTAATTTTCTTATTTTTTAAATCACCAACTATGTGTAAATTATATATTGATAGGTAATAGTTAAATAATACAATAATAATAGTGTAGAGGTCATTTGGTGATGCATGTCATGGAGGGACCAAAACCAAATAAGGGCTTTCTTTCTCAAATTGTATATTATATGCTAATAGTGATTAATCTATTCTGGGTGTGGAAGGGAATCATTTTGATGGAACAACATTATTTTGAACATCTTTTAAGCTTACGAGAGTACAGCGGACTTTTGAAGATTTTGAAGATCTTTCATTTCGTATATACCCCACTTATTCTCTAGAAGCAGAATCTCTCATCTCATACATACATATATATATATATATATATATAATATCAAATAAATATTGAACCTCAGTCTTGAAAGTGGCCTCAGGAGTAGGTATGGCAATGGATAACCTACTCTGTGGGTATCCATGGAGACCCAACCCAAATACATGGGTTTTTCCCTCTTTTCTCTATCCTTTGGGTAGAGTAAGTGATATTCTTTAAACATTCACAGGGGATGGGTTGGGGATGGGTACCCACTAATTTCCCCATATGTTTTTTTTTTTTTTTTTTTTTTTTTTTTTTTTAAGATTCACAACCAAACTAAATATACATTCAATATTTTTTATTTATTTATTTATTTATTTTTTCAGGTTCACAACCATTTTTTTTTTAAGATCCACAACCAAAGCTAAATATACCTCCAATCTTTTTTTTTTTTTTTAAAGGTTCACAACCATTTTTTTTTTTTAATTTTTAAGATTCACAACCAAAGCTAAATATACATTCAATTTCTTATTTTATTTTATTTGGCTCAACAATAAAATCAAATACACATTAATTAATATTGTCACATTATTCTTGTCAAATTTTATGCATATCTAGAATTTTTAAAAATTTATTTTAAAAAATTAAGGACACTATCTAGTGTTAGGTTTCGGTTTGCTTTTCTATGTTATTTTATTTTGTTGTGTATTGTAATTTTCAGAATGATTTGCTTGTTCTGAAATTTTAATTAACGAGTATGAATTTATTATTTTATGTTATCACACAATTTATACAACACACACACATACATATATATATATATATATATATATGAATGTATTTGAAAATAAGGAAATTGTAGAGAATCAAAACAAGCATGAGTCGTGATTTGTTAGAAATGATGGGTACAAAGATTTATTTGCTAAAAAACAAAAAGAAAATACAAAAGTCTTACTAAATAATTTTTTTTTAATTAAAAGAATTTTTCTTAGTTATGAACAGATTTAACTAAAATCAGCTTGTTTCCCAATGTTATGCTTCATTTATTTAGATATAAAATATTTTTTAATGAAAAATATTTTTTATAAAAAAAAAAAAATATATTTTTTTTTATTTGGTGGTGGTGGTGATGGAACGGAGGTGAAAGTAGAGATTGTTACATAGTGGTGGGGTGATGGCGGCAGTGATGATGGTAGTGGCTATGGTGATGGTAGTGTGACAGTGAAAGTGAGAATAGTGGATGATGTGTTGTGAAATTAGTAAAAAATTAATTGAAAAAACATTTTTTGTTTTTTAAAAGTAACAAACAACAAAATTCGTGGGGACTAAAGGAAGAAATGGGGGATGGATTGGGTGTGGTAATGCATAGATATCTTAAAATGAGTGGTTCAGATTTGTTAAAGATATAATTAGATTTTGGAAAATTAAAATGAATAGTTCAAATTTGCTAAGAGGAAGATGGTTTAATATCTAAAATGTTCGTGGCTAACAGATCAACAAACAATTCCTTGTTTATACCCTGATGCAATTTAATATGAGTCTTATAACACTTTCTTCAAACAGGTTCTTTCACATTTTATTTCTTCAAACATGCTCTTATAACATTGTAATCAGGTTCTTATAACATGTAGGGGAGAGAGTGAGAGTGAGAGTGAGAGAGAGAGAGATGGTTGTAATTTTTTTTTAATCTTCCACGTTCTTCCACATTTTTTTTTCAATTACTAAAACTTATTTGATTGTCTCAAAATTATATATTTGATTATTATAAAACAAACTTTTTAATTAATTAATTAATGTGTATTTGATTTTGTTGTTGAACCAAATAAAATAAAATAAGATTGAATGTATATTTAGCTTTTGTTGTGAACCTTAAAAAATAAAAAAATAAATAAATAAATAAGTTGTTAACATTAAATAATTAAAAAAGGAAGAAAAAAGATTGAAGGTATATTTAGCTAAAACCTTTATAAAAAAAAAAGAAGATTGTTAACATTAAATATATTAAAAAAAAAAAAAAAAGATTGAAGGTATATTTAACTTTTGTTGTGAACCTTAAAAATAAATAAATAAATAAATAAAAATTAAAAAAAAAATAAAAAATTGTTAGCATTAAATATATTTAAAAGAAAGAAAAAAGATTGAAGGTATATTTAGTTTTTGTTGTGAACCTTTAAAAAAAAAAAAAAAAAAAAAAAAAAAAAAAAAAAGTGGTTGTTAACATTCAATATAAAAATAAAAATGGAGATTAAAGTGGGTAGGAGAAAATCCATACCCATTAAATAATGGAGATGGTGGTACCCATGGGGAATGGGGAATGGGGAAAATTTATTATAGGGGAATAGAGATGAGGAATTAATATCCACCCCATTGCCCCCCATTGCCAGTCCTACTCAGGAGAGTAAAATGAAATATTTAACTATTCAACTAAATTAATAATTAAAAAAAAGAAGGTAAAGATCAATCAGAAAATTTCAATAGACTGGCATTTCAAATATATTAGAGTGACCTCTAATATATTTTCCAAGCATCGACTCAACCCACCAATATATTATTATTAGACTAACAAGAGCAGTATTAGACCATCTCCAACGGTTCATCAAAGTTGACATCAAATTTAAAATTTGATGAAAAAATTACTGTTTGGTGCTCCAACGATTGTACCAAATCGATATCAAAATGAGATTTCACCAAACAATTCATTAAACTGAGGACAGAATACTGATTTCATCAAAACACTGTTTGTGACCGTTGGGGGAGACCAACCGGTCAACCAGCCGGTTGCTCGGCCGGTTGACCAACCGGTCGACCACCAAAAGGTTCAAACAGTTCCAAGAAAAGGTTCAAACAGTAAAAAAAAAAAAAAAAAAAAAATTTGCCAAGGTTCAAAAAGTTTAAAAAAAAAAAAAATCGACTAACCGGTCGACCAACCGGTTGTCCCGGCACAAATTTGATGAAAGTTTACCGTTGGAGCGAGTGATATCAGATTTGGTAAAATGAGTCATTTTTCACTCAGATTTGATGAAAAAAAAATACACCGTTAGAGATGCTCTTAGTCATAGGATTAGTAGAGTTTTTTTTTTTTTTTTTTTGTTAAATGTCAGAGGATGAGTAGAGTGAACCTATAATCTACTCTTGTTGTCTGGGTCAAGACAACGTCATAGCCCAATTCCGCCTTGTTTGGACAATCTCTTTAGTCAAAAACATAAGACAAACATGCTCTACAATGATGCTCCAACACTGCAATGTCAACAACCTATAAACCTTGACGAGGCTAATTTGTGTAACTTTCCTTAAACTGAAAGTTGACAACAGAAAAGTAAAAAATAAAAAGTTAAAAACACTTCTCTCGCTGCTTTCAAATAATTAATTTTTTATTTTTTTTTTTTATAATTTTACCTAAGCTATTTCTGCCTCATAAATTACATACTGAAACTATAAAAAATACTTTGGCACAAATTTCTCAAAATAAAAAAAAAAAAACTATAAACAACTCTAATAAATTAGACCAAACAACACCGAACTCTATAACTCATCACAAGATTGATTTTTGGACAAACCTGTCCGTTGTTAGTCACCTGAGCAATGAAAAATTGTTCACGCACTATAGCACATATTCATATCACTAAAAGACGTGAAAAAAATAAAAAGAATTGGTAGACTTTTTATATTAGTTTTTTTTGGCTAATTGAGCATGTTCCCAAACAAGGCAATTATAAAATAAGACAGCAAACAAAAAGGGCAAAGACAAGACTTCAACAGGCAATTTCTGATGATCTTTGAATAGAACTCATGTTGGCTGTTCTGATTGAGTTTTGATGCAAAAACTTGATCAAAAAATCATCATATAGTGCATGTCATATGGTCCAGTAATGTACCTCGATTGTAAAAATTTACAAGATTGAAGCTAAAAGTCAGAAGCTTATGAATAGTTACACTAGGTCAACCTTATGATAACTCGTAGCTGCAGCTAAAAATGATCAAGATTGACGAAGATGTTCATAATAATGAGAACCCAAACTATCCGTAGATATTCATCAATAATGCCACACAAGAGACATTTTATCCAAGAAAAACCAGTGAACGTAAAACCAAATTCCACAATATCAAAGATAACATTAAAATGATTAATACTTGCTCAAAAAAAAAAAAAAGGATCAATGTTTAATTTATAATACTTGTGGTGCCATAAAATATATTCAAAATCCCATCTATTCATTAACCAAAAAAAATAAGGATTCAAATGATCCATAGAAACATTCAAACTCGATGTTGAACAAAATTGCAATAGTCATCACAAGAATAGAGCAACATAAAACTGCGAAGCAATTTGGAAGATAATGCTCACATGGCAGCGAAAGCCTTCTTCCCGCCACCACCAGACGATCCAGCGGGGATCACTTTCAACACATTGAACCTCACTGTCTTTGACAAAGGCCTGAAACCAAACAATAATAGAATAAATATATGCACAATGCTATCTTATATATAAAAATAAAGAGTAAGCCATTTCAATTGGATATCTAACCTGCATTGGCCAATGGTAACATGATCCCCTTCCTTGACACGGAAGCATGGAGATATGTGTGCAGGAATATTTGAGTGCCTCTTCTCATACCTTAAGAGAAAGAAAAGATAAAAAAGACAAAGGTTATGCTTTGCCTTGAAAGATAAAATTTGGCAAAATGAATACGACAATTTAAAATAACAACAGGATTGTGCCTTTGGTATTTCTTCACAAAGTGGAGATAATTTCGTCGAACAATAATGGTTCTCATCATCTTGGCACTGTGGCATGTGCCAGCTAGGATGCGGCCTCTGATAGATACATTGCCAGTGAAGGGGCATTTCTTGTCAATGTATGTTCCTGTAATCAAAATATAAAACAAGACTCAGATCGGCAATGTTTTTAATATATTCCGAACTAGTTGTTAAAAAAGTATCTGCTTCATGTTCTAATAATACCATGGAGAACTAGAAGAACATAAAGATAGAAGAATACAAAAGATATCAAACTCTGAAACTCATGTTCCTAATGAGCCATGAAACGATATAAATGTCCAACTTATAGATATATTCTGTAAAAAGAGGGCAACATGGAACATGTAAATTGTAAATCAACTCCATAATCCAATGGCCAGCATTCCTATTGACTTCATAGTGACTAATATCCAAACTATTTCCTTATTGGAGCAATGCTATCATAGCACATGACCAGACTTGCAGCCATTATCTTGTCTCGTCCCCAATTGATGTTACTAATGAGAGGCTAATAAACACATTCATGTCTAATAATCTTTGTTATGATTCCACAAAAGATTTTAATATTCAATACAAGCATGAATGAGTAAATTTAAAAACAGAATTGGACCTTGATCGGGCACAAAAAATAACATAACTTGTTAATATGTTTACTTCTCTTGCCATTGACAAGATAGAGGAAGCCTTATGAATTAATAAAATCAACACTCAATAGCAATGTAAACCCAAGAACTAATAGGCATGAGCATGAAATGGCTTTAGAGATAATTGAGTAGCGAGTATACACAAGTCCAATCACAACATTTCCAGCTTGATATGGCTTAAATTTTCCAGTGACAAGTGTCACGGACTGGGCGCTTGTCATCCTCCCGAGAAGCCGGCTCCACGAGTGGTACTGCGTACCCCCGTGCACATTTTGCCCACGGATCAACCTAGGAGATGCGATAGGGATCTACCCTGCCTGCCTTGCCGCTCACAACCTAATGAACCTAATGCGCTTGCAAGGTGCTTGGTGTAGAACTCGCATCCCTAATGAGTCGGTACGTGACACTAGGGTCGACCCTATGAAAAAAAACAAACCAATACCAATACCAAAGCAAAGTCTATAAGCTATTTTAATGCCATTAAATAGAAGAAATTACAAAACAAAGTTTTATTTCAAAAGCAAGCTAAGTAAATTTAAAAATTTGAAGTTTTAGTTTTCAGTGCGGACACCACCCTTGGTGTGGACCCCACAATGAAGGTGCTTGGTGTAAGTCCCACGTACCGTCCCCATCACAGTGCTCCTAGGCTGGCTCTGATACCACTTGTCACGGACTGGGCGCTTGTCATCCTCCCGAGAAGCCGGCTCCACGAGTGGTACTGCGTACCCCCTGTGCATTTTGCCCACGGACCAACCTAGGAGATGCGATAGGGATCTACCCTGCCTGCCTTGCCGCTCACAACCTAATGAACCTAATGCGCTTGCAAGGTGCTTGGTGTAGAACTCGCATCCCTGATGAGTTGGTACGTGACACAAGGCAGTGCCCACTAAGGTGCAAGGTGCATGAAACTAAAGCTTTTGATACCTCCCTTGACTAAAGCACTATATCATGCCACAGAAGCAATCGTCTAGTGCCACATAATTAGATGATGACGAAAACTAACACAATATAACATATTATCAAAGAAACTGTGGCTAATACTTAGGCAGTTAAGTGAGATGCAATTGTTATCAACTAAATTGAAAAGATTGGGGAACATTTATAAATCAACAATAAATTAATAATTAAAAAATAATAGCCATGAGTATGAAATGGCTTTAGAGAAAACTGGATGGTGAAAACACACGCCATTCACAAGAATTATAACCTTTTGTGTCACAATATTTCCATGGCCTAAAGCTCTCTTAAGTGCAAAATGGATACTCATCCACACTAATGCTTACTCTAGCACTCTAAATTTCTCATTAGAAAGAGGAGAAAAAGTTTTGATACCACCACCAATTAAATCATTACCATGGTTGTTAGAATCAGGATCCTTCTGGGATTAGTGAGAGGGTCTCACAGATCGATAGTAAGATTGGATAGAGAATTGTAAAACTCTACTTTCTATTATAAAAAAAAGAAAGAAAAAATGTCAATAAAGATGATGCACATTAAAAATAAGGTGAAAAGTCACCAGCCCAAAGATCCTACTACAATCCTAGATGATCCTTCACGATCCTACTTGCGATGATACTATAACACCAATTTTACAACGATTTGGATTGTTTTGGAAATTTAGGATCTCCAGATCGCAATTTTGATAACCATGATCACTAAATTAATACAGTGCTGTTACTTAAGTTGCCAAGCTTTGTCTTAGCCGCTACGCTAGCTCATTATGCATCCTAAGTCCCAATTAATCATTGTGATAAGAATTGATAAAAATACTAACTTCAACTAGTGTATGGAATTGTCAAGCAGCCTTAATTTCATGCCTTAGTCAATGGTCCAAAAAGGCCAAAAACAATTACAACAACAATATAATGAGAAAAATAGAACGCAGACTATGACTAGTGTATCACAATATTCTCAGTACGTATACATCTATGTATATAGAATACAAACCATCAATGGCTTCTCGGGGAGTTTTAAATCCCAGACCAACGTTCTTCGAGAAGCGATTCCCACCCTTTCCAGGCCTCTTCCCTTTCCCAGTCTTCTTCGAGCTATAAAAAACACACGAAAACAGAGAAAACAAATTCAAAAATCAACAAAAACAAAAACGAAACCAATAGAAACAAAAAGCTTAGGTCGAGCTAAATATCAAATGCTTTAGTTCTCGATTATTACCACAAAAACACTTTGGGTTGCTTCAGAAATGCCTTCTCAGTCTGTAACAGAAACAGCAAAAGCAAGATCCATATAAATACACACACAAACATGTATATACAAACAATGAGAGAGAGAAAGAGATAGTAGAGATCTGATGTTGAACCTGTTCGGCCATGATTGACGATTCTGAGGATACGAGGAGGATGAGAGGAGTCGAAGAAGGATGCTGAGAATAATGATCGCCAAAAACCCTAACCCTAAAGTTATGGAGTGAGTGACCATGATGACTCCAAGGGTGTAAGTCGGGCTTGGATTTGGATTGTTGGGCCGGGCTTTTTTAGTCAAAGTTTAACAGACCCTCTCTCACTCACTCTCTATGTTGGTCCAATTCCACTGAACGGACTCAAAAAAAAAAAAAGTCCAATATTTGAATGAAACCAAACCCCTAACCCTAACTCAAAGTTATTACCCGCTTTTTATTTTGGTAATATTCTCCCACTTTGGATCTAACGTGTTCACGGATCAGGTTGCGTCAAGTATCCTCTTATTTATCATCGGTCTGAATTTAAACGGATTAAAAAAATAATATAAACCCATCAGCTTAGTTCATGTATGGAGATTGAGTGGACTGTGCAAATTAGTAAGTAGATACGGATTGATTTAGTGGTTTTGACTTCACTGTTTTGAGCTTTTTTTCGAACTATTTTCTAGTAATTCTTTCTTATTTTGCTCCCAAATTTTTTTTATTGTTCATTTTTTAAAATAAAAATAAAGATCTAACTTTCATATTTCATGAATAACAAATATAATTATTAAATAAAAGGTTTTTTTTTTTTAAAGACAAAAAGCATAAAAGCATAACTTTATTTTCTTATGAGTGTTGGCAAATCGGGTTGGGTCAAGTAGCCTCTCATTTGCTATTCATCCGAACTTAAGCGGATTGGAAAAAATGCATTCGCATCCATCGGCTTGAACCATTGAAATCGTCCATTTTGTGGCAAATTGATTTGGACCATTCATTTTGGCAGATCAAGTGGATGCTCGTCTACCCATACAACTAACCACCATGGAATTATATAAAAATGGAAAAATTACACTTTATTTTTTAAAATATTAACCAATTCTTACTTTATATTGTTTTGTTTTTGAAAAATAAAAAAAATCCCTACAATTTGGTAGTAGTAGGACAAGAGGTGATTCTGGTTATCATTTTTCAATTATTCAACTCCTCTACATGGCCAAAGGCAAAGATCCTTTATCCCCAAATGTTCTTCTCCCTCTATTTCTAAACATTTATGATCAATGAATGCCTTGAGATTTTTGTAAAGTAAGATTTTTACATGATTTAATAAGGATAAAAATATTTAAGAACGGTTGATATTTAGCCTTTCCCATGTTCCAAATTTCTATTCAAAAAATTCAAACATAAGTAACTTAATAATATGTCACAATTAGAAAAGATACAAAACAAAAAATGTAGCTCTTCAAAAGGGCACTAATTGTCAAGCATAAGAAAGGACCATAAAAAGAAAAGAAAATAGAAGAAAATGACGAACCCTAGCTAAGCTTATTAATGGTGCTTGGGGTTGTGAGTCCTAGGTCCATAGTAGTCTTCATGAATTTTTGGTAACCAGTGTTGGGATTCCTTGGTTAGTACCCTTGAAATTCTTTTCTTCAAAGTACCTAAGCAATGCCTATCTTTGCAGTCATCAACAGCCTCTCCAACAACAGCACTGCTTGTTCTATTCACTTTAGCTTTCTGCATTAACAACAGTGTTTTAGTTATGCTAGGAGCACAGAAGAATTTCACAAAATAAAATATAGCCGTGAGACAAAAGGTGAGTCTCACACATGAGATCCATCACTTTATCTCACATTTATATCTTATTTTGTGAAATTTCACGTGAGACCTACAATAGTTATGAGCCCCACATTCATGCTTGTGAGTTTATTGCGTAAGATTATTATAAAATTTTCACCATTAAGACATTCAAAAAAGAAAAAAAGAAAAAAGCCCAACATACGCTTGAATGAAAGTATATATATGATATGAGCAAAGAAAGTATATATATGATATGAAAAAATGACACACCCACATGGATTTTATGATGTCCGACTGGTAGAAATCCTTTCCTCAAACTTATACCTGCAAAATAACAAAGAAAATGTGACCAAATTCAAATGCTCATGACATGGATATGTTGGGCATTTTTTATACCTTGAACCTCAGATATGAGAATGGACAGAAGTAGAAATGAGACTAGCAAGGAAGGCCTCATTTGGAGGAAAAAAAATTCAAAAAGAAACAGTTTGTGAAGAAGAGAATGGAGTGAGAGACTAGAAAGATAAAAAGAACATGCAGATGAGTTATCTGTGGCTTTTCTCTTTTATTAGTTTCTCTTTCTCTTGAAGAATTTTGATATGCACCAAGGAAACAGTTAGTAACTAAAACAAATTTAAAAAATAAAAAACATTCAAAAATATTCTGGAAATGAATGTATAATGTAAATTTAAATTTGGTATGGTGTGGACAGACCTACATGCTTTTTAGTGATTTTTTTGTTTTTCAGTTAAGATATGAGGAGAAAAAAAATCATAATGTTTGAAATATTTTTTGATTTTTTACAAAAAGATATGTAGAGAGTAGAGTAAAATGAAAATAAATATTTGACTTTTAGGTATTTGTTGACTTTTTGATTTTTTTTAGTAATTTTTTTGACTTTTAAACTATTTTAATTAGTAGGTTTGACCAATGTTGTTAATAATGTCAGAAAAATTATAATTTTGTTACATATTTATAAATTTTATATTATTATACAAAGTGAACACGTTTTTGGTAAAAAAAGAAAAAATAGATATCTAAGTTAACTAGATTTGAAAGCAAGATCTTGGCTTTAGGGAAGAAAGTTTTGAATAATATTAGGGAATCTAAATGTTTTACTAATGTTTTTATCAAATATTTTACATGGATGAATCTTATACCTATATGAAACATTTGGTAAAAATGTTAGTACAACATTTGTGGTCCGTAGTATTTTTCGAAAGTTTTTACCACTTGAATTTTATATATATATATATATATATATATATATTGTAATATTAATTTTTTTTATCATTTTTAAATGGGATCTACTATTTCTTTCATTTTTTTTAAGGTAAATTACACTGACACCTTCAAAAGTTTATATTTATTACAGTTTTTTCTCTCACCTTTTAGAAATTACATCTCCCCTTAAGGTTTAAAGTTTCATTACAGATTTCTCCCTCAGCAATTTAATTTTTTTAAATACCAATTTTACCCTCACTGGGTAAATTACATTGACACCCCTCACATTTTAAAAATTACAATCCCTCCCTAAGGTTTAAAGTACCATTACCAATTGCCCCCTCGGTTAGTATTAGTTGGAAAAAAAATTATTGAAAAAAAAATTAATTGGAAAAAAAATTATTTGAAAAAAAAATTTGTTAGTAAAATTTTTAAATTTTTGTTTAAAAACCAACGTAAACTCATTTTTTGAATTTACGTTTTTTCCTCAAATTTACAAACTAAGACAATCATTTATAAGCAAAAAAAAAATTATCAAATAAATTTTTATGACATTTTTTTAAATTTTTGTAAATATAAATTGAAAACTGAAAATGAAATGGTTACCAAGCAGGTCTCAGATGGTAAAAATGTCTTAAAATTAACAAATAATTAATTTTATTTGATTATTTGTTAATTAAATAAATTTTATTTTATGTTGGTTTTTAAACGACATTTTTATGTAATTATTTGTTATTTGTTAATTATTTGTTATATGTTAATTAAATAAATTTAATTATTTGTATGAATAATGCTTGGGACCCCCTTTTGGGGGTCACCCCCTCACCCCCTTTGCCACGTGGCAGGGGGTGATTGGTGGAGCAGGAAAAAAAAGAAAAAGAAAAAGAAAAGGTGACCAATGAGAGAGAGAGGGGGTCAAAGGGGTGGAGAAAATGGGGGGATGAATCATTACTCTATTTGTATTTACTTATTTGTTAATTAAATAAATTTTAAATTTTATTTAATTATTTAATTAAATTTTTATTTAATTATTTGTTAATTTTACGACATTTTTACCATCTGAAGCCTGTTTGGTAACCATTTCGTTTTCAGTTTTTAATTTATATTTACAAAAATTTTAAAAATTATCATAAAAACTTGTTTGATAATTTTTTTGTTTATAAATAGTTGTCTCAGTTTGTAAATTTGAGAAAAAAACGTAAATTTAAAAAATGAGTTTACGTTAATTTTTAAACAGAAATTTAAAAATTTTACTAACAAAATTTTTTCCCAATTAATTTTTTTTCAATTAATTTGTTTTCCAACTAATACTAACCAATGGGGCAATTGGTGATGCTACTTTAAACCTTAGGGAGGGGATTGTAATTTCTAAAAAGTGAGGGGTCTTAATGTAATTTATCCAGTGAAGGCAAAATTTGTATTTTAAAAAATTAAATTGCTAAGGGAGGAATCTGTAATGAAACTTCAAACCTCAGGGAGAGATGTAATTTCTAAAAGGTGATGGGAGAAACTGTAATAAATATAAATCTCAAGAGATGTCAGTGTAATTTATCTTTTTTTTAATATATATACTTTTTGGCTTTGAATTTTTTTTTTTTGAGAGGGGTAAAAAAAGGCCTAATAGGGGAACACTATTTTCTTGAAACAAAAATGTTTTGAATGTGACTTACTGCCATAGGATTACTATGTCTTGATTTTTATTTTTGTTTTTATTTTATTTATTTATTTATTTATTTTGAAGTTGCCACCTGTTTGAAGCCCTGGTTAGAATTGGTGCTTTTGTGGTCTCTAGCGGGACTCTTCTTGAAATTGGTTGTCTGACAAAAGAGACAAATCTTTGGAAATGACATATGATATAGAGACTATGAAAGCAATCACCCCCTTTTGGTATGTACCCGCCCAGGCCCCCACCCTGAGGGTGTCCTCAAGTTAGGAGCAGAATCTCCCAAATTTAATGGAAATACTTTTAATTGCTAGATGGTGTGCAGTAAATTTTCTTTTAAAATACAATGAAATTTGATTTAAAAAAATTATATTTATATTGGGAAAAGACAGAACAAAGTAACTTTGTAAATTAAAAAATATTAAACGTTTGGATGCAATTTTTTTTTGTTGATTCAAATGAAAGTAGAACAAATAACAAAACAAAGACAAAAATAGAGACAAAACAAAACCAAAAGAGGGCTAAAACAAGTTAAGCCCTTTCACATGAAGCCCCAACAATGTTTATAATCAGCA